TATTTATACATATATAAATACACATATATACATATAAATACACACACATATATATATATACAGTACATTTTGTATTACTCCATGTTTCCAAAAAAATATTCATACCACATACATATACATTCAGAAGTATATGAGTTATATGCAGCATCATTACAATGCATTTTAAAAACATATCCTGTTTCCTGTCCTTCTCTTTAACTTTAGTCGAGTTGTTTGTGATTCTCATTACCTTGTCGTTCACCACGCTCTTTCCGTCCCAGGCCCAGCCGCGCTTCGTGAAGTAGTTGACTGTGGCAAACTCGATCAAAGCCGAGAAGACAAAGGCGTAGCAGACGGCGATGAACCAGTCCATGGCGGTGGCATAGGCGACCTTGGGGAGGGAATTCCTGGCACTTATACTGAGAGTTGTCATCGTTAGGACAGTGGTCACACCTGGCATGACATGACAGAGGAGAGAGAGGTATTTCATTATAGCACGGAAGAATTAGAGCAGAGAAAAACTCTGTTGACCAACAAACATATATGTATATGAAATACTTTTCTTTTCTTTCTTCTCTAGTGATTCCAAATGTAGATCCCTCTGTTCCAGTGTTAGGAACTGATGTTCAGATGGAACAGAGTCTGAGACTAGGATCACACTCTGACTACAATAAATAGTTTAAGAAAAACCCCAATATATCGCTGCGCTCTTAGTATCACAGTATACTGCAATATATCGTATTGTTGCCCCATATTGTAATACATATCGTATTGTCAGATTCTTGCCAATATATATATACATAAATGTATATATGTGCAGTACTTACTGTATATATGTACACATATATGTACACATATATGTATATATGTACATATATGTGTACATATATGCATGTATGTATATATATGCACATCTATGCATAGATGTACATATACGCATATATGTACATATATATGTGTATATGTAAATATATATAATATATGTCATATAACAAATGATGTCAAGAGTCTTTGAATCCTTGGTTTCTTGAATCCCCGGCCGTCAGTATTAAAGTGTAAAGTTTGGGACTCGGTTTATTCCTCCTCTGCCTCCTCTCCAGTCATTTGTTCCAGCAGACTTACCTACGTGTCTTAAAGCAGCCTGTCTAATGGGACTAGTGGGATCTTTGTTCTTCATCCAGTTATTTTTTTCAGCACGTAAGCGTTATCTTCAAATTCCAGCCATTCACCAGTGTTCACTCTCCACACTGACAAAGGTTGGGATGAATCCCCCGTGCAATTCAGCACATGCTGACGCCACACACACACACACAAACACACTCATAAGAGCGGCTGAAATAACACCGCTGCCAGTGGGAATAGAGGTGTTTCAATAGGATCCGACCTCAGCGCCACAGCTCACACTGACACACACAGTATTAATACAGTCCATTAAGAAAAAAAAAAGGTAAAGAAAAGGAAGAAACGTGCTCCATTATACGGCACTCACCAAACACAGTCCTGGCCGGCACTGATTCTCTGTTCAACCAGAAAGACACTTGGGAAAGAATGACGGTCATGATGCACGGGAGGTAGGTCTGGATGACAAAGTATCCGATCTTCCTCTTCAGGTGAAAATGAGCCGTCATCACAGTGTATTCACCTGAGGAGACCAGAATCAGGGTCAGATCCAGGCTTCATATATATATATATACAAAACTTACATAGAGTACATTGAAATAAATGAATGTGATCTACAGTACTGTCAAAAAAAATTTAGGAGGATTATTACATTAACTCTTTACCTGTTGGACCACTAGGGGACATTTGATTATTGACTGTAAGAGCATACATTTGTAAGTGAATCTGGCACCGTTCAGGGGAGCTGCGCCCCAGACTTTGAAAACCACTTTTTGGAATTAACACTAAGTATTTGTTCTGCTAAACCTAATGAAGAGGACTCACAATTCAATTTCATTATGAATATAAATTAATTATGCCAATACATATATTATTATAATCAACAAATGATTATGAAGCAGCAGGGTTAATTTTCGCAAGGAGAGCCCACGCCCCACACCTTGAAAACCACTGAAATCGACAGTATGTATCACGTTTCCTTCATTTAATTGATGCTCATGTTACTTAGAGTAAATTATTAGGAAAAAAAAAACTATCTTTCATAGCAGCTAGCCTCCGTCGTCAAAGACTGTGCACAGCTGCTCAGATTAAGCTGCCTCCAGCCTCAGATTGGACATTAAAATCCACCCGTAGAAGCCACAGCAGACAGTATGATTTCCTGGCCAGTGACAAAGCTGACAAGGCCATCAAACTGAGCCACTGCTGCCGCGGCAGGCAGGCCAAATGAAAAATACTGTATCTCAAAGAGAAGCCAAGATTAGACACCAGAAGAAGAAAGCCATGGTTACCCATGGCAACCGAACAAGGAGACGCAGCTCGTGTGCCGAGATTTTAAAATGAGCACCTTGAAGAACGACACCGTTCGGCACCGGGGAAGTCCGTTACAGCAATGACGCTGGCGAGAACTAATCCAAAATGATTTTTTTTTTTTATTCCCTCTTTTTTTTATAGCTGTGTAATTGTATTGCCTGCCGTTCAGGCGGTCATGTGGGGGCTAATGCTCTCCCTGTCTCCACACACAACAACACATATCGATGCACTAACGGCACAAACACTGGAATTAAAAGAGAACACAGTAATTTAGAGGAGGCCAGTGACTCTCAGCACTCGGTGGAGCTTCATGTCTTCTGTAATTTAATTTCCATGCAGGTCTGTGTTGGATGAGGACGGAGGAGAACTGAGCCAGGAATTTATCAGACGTGGCCGAATGTTCTCAGGAGAGGCCGGCGATGCCGTCACTTTCAGCCCTGACAGTAATTAAAGCACCGGGATGGTAATGTGACATGTCCTCAAAAGATGAAGGGGAAAAGATTTCATCCTAACAATGCGAGTTCCTCTTGTTTTTCCATACGTGACCTGCAGTAAACTGTCCAACAGAGGGCAGAGCATCAAAGAGGAGAAGCTCTACAAATCCATTAGGACAAAAATAAACCTTTTATGGCTGCTCCTACATTTATTTTTCAATTTTCAGGAAGAAAAAAAAACAACATTAATACCTTTTAAAAAAGACAGAATCAATGGTTTGAGACTGCACCAGAGTACAGTGTCCACCAGAGGCACATTAACGGTGCGGTGGTAAAGAATACGTTCTAATTCTAGCTCACCAATATGCCAGATAACCATGGCGTTCTGCAGAATAAATAAACCCTTCAGATGACGGTTTTAGCTGTGTGCTGGAGATGGAGCGGGGCAGCATGGAGGCAGAACTACCACACAGATCAGAGCACGGGTAAAAGCCATTAGCAGGACTGCCTCCATCCCCACTGGGCTGAGGAAGCTCAGGACTACGTTCAACCACTAAACTCATTTAGCCACAGGCCTTTAAGCACTTTGTGGGGAGAGGGTCCTTTGTGCCGTCAGCCATTAGACTGCACGAACCACCGCAGAGAAGAACCACAGTCAGAGCCCAGACCACCACCTGGGAAATCCTACACCAGGCTGCTCCAGTTCCAGTGAAATTCATATGAACCTAAAGAGAGATTTTACTGCAACCGTTGTCTATTTTATACCACGAAAATGTTCAAGGCGTCATTTTAGACCAGGCTGAGTCCAAGACCAGGACCAGACCTGCCCATCCTAACCCAGCAGAGCCACTGTTGACTGTGATTACTTTGTCTATCATCCTGACTTACAGACCAGTGAGTCGTGTCTTTTTGTGAGATTTTTGTTCGGTGGTGTGCCGTGGGGTTTGCCCTGATGATGTATCTGTGCCATGGCTCAGAAAAGGTTGGGAAACACTGTTATAGACAACCAGTCTATAACTAAGTTTGAATCCCAGATCATCCCAGTGCAGGATCAGGGGTTTTTTTTTTTGGAGTCTCTGTCACTGACAGGAGGTGTGACCAACACCGTGAATGGTTGTTGTCTCTGTACAGTCGCCTGGAACATGAACTTTTAACCTCTTCAGACTGTTCTCCGCTTTTGGACTTGGTGTCAGCTGGGATTAGAGCCACTTCCCTCCAGGACTCTCGACTAGAATAGCAGTTGAAGACGGATGAATGATTAAGCAAAGATGATACGATTACATTATGTGAGGATGATTTACTTCAGTTCTACAGGACTCAGTTCACCGCTGAGCTCTCTCGTTCACACCGACACTCGTTCCTTTTCCGCTCGTGCAGATATATATATGTGGAAGTTCAGCAACAAGACCTTAGCTCAGACTCAGAAATAGAACATATTAAAACACATTTTTGATGACACAGAGTTCACTGTAACAACAGTATTATAACTCAGTAAATTAATGCCCAAATAATGCAATATTCATATAAGAATAAGTGGCAGAAGAAAAACTATTATTTCAACTCTTATCGATGACACGTCATTTTTCGTCATTTTTAATGGTTAAAAAATGTAAATCACACACTGAAATTAAAACACCTGTCTGAAAAACATTTTGACTAATCACACATTGGAGATTTTTTTGGGACAGATAGACTTTGTGGGTCAGAAAGCTAAGAATGTGGGCGCTAAAAGCAAACGCTAATGATTGTATTATTTATATTATATACAGTATATATATAAATATATTCAGTGATCAATTATAGTTTTTAACAGAAGTTAAAATGTAAAAAAAAAACAAAAAACGTATGACTCGCATCAGTTGCCTTCACAGGCTCATGCAAAACGCGCCCCCCCACCTCCCTGTGTGAAGCTCTACAGCATGTTTGTGCCAAATGACCTACTTAGCAAGTATGCTGCTTACATCAAACACTGACACACTCCTAATGAATGATTAATTTGAAGTCGGCCAATCAGATAACGCGAAGCGCGGAGATAACAAAAGCGGCAGTAACTGGCAGCCTCGTCGCCTCCTACTGGAGCATCGTGCTGCACTTAACCCAGATATGGGGGCATTTAGTCCATGAAGGGATATTCTCACTCAATGAAACTGACGCCGGGATTCCCCTGATAGTAAAAGGCTGCCACTCGGGAAAGACCGTAAACTGGTAATTGATACCTGAAGGGAGGGGCCTGTGGTGCTCAGGGACGCAGCCGTGAAGTTAATTTTCAAGGTGATGCATTATTGCATTATAGAGGCGTGCATTCAAACTGAAATTAAGTCCTAATGAATAAATTAATATATTGCTAATGCTAATATTAGCCGATAATATCGTTTGGCCGATATTATCAGACCTCCCTGATTAAAACCAAGCAGAACCAACATGGTCAGCCTGTAAATGACAAAGTGAAAATCAAACATTTTCACCATTATTTAAACCCCCTCCAGGACAACACTGCCCCCTACGGTGTCACAGAAACCCCGACAACATCCACGGCAATTAATGATGCTGAGGCTACACAACAGCCCCGTCGGTTGACAGACGCTCGTGTGCTGACGTGTGGCTGCTGCTAATACCGCCGCTCCACTCCACACCGCTACCTCCACCGCCCGCTTCAGCTCAGCTCTGTTTGCATGCACCCTGGAGGGCATTTATTTCTCAGTGAACAACCACCAGGGTGTTATTTGCAAAGGTAGCTGCCTGATATTTGTTGCTGTGCTACATGTTTAATTCTGTGTTGCCACAGCGGGAAAAGGGGGGAGGGGGGGGGACATGTGGGCAGCAGTCACGGAGAGAACGAACAACACACACACACACACTGTAGCATATTTGTCTGACTTCAAAACTGCTGCTAAAAATATCATTTCAAGTGTGATCCAGACTGGATCTTACAGTCACCTTGGAAGTTATTTTAAAAAACAAATCTTCCTCCAGAACAGAGATGCAGTGAACGACTGCCTCACTCAGCAGCAGAAAACTGATTAGAAAATCTTCTCCTCCGACAAAGACGACTTATTACATTTCTTTCAGTCACTCTCTGGTCTCTTCTCTTCCCACCGCCGTTCACTTCCTGAATTGTAATGGAGTCGCTCTCTCTCATCCTTAAGCCAACAGCTTCACACTCAGGCGGGGTTCATCGTGCGCACGTGACAGATCTGACCCCGTTCAAGCATCTGTGTTAGTGTGTTTTTCATGAGATGTGTGGCGTCTATTTATGGGTCTCATTACGTCTCTACACCACAGCCCGTCTCCCTCTGTACCTCAGCTGTTCCCTCTCCATATTCACGCCGCGCTTGTTATTCCCGTATAAAGAAGTGTAAGTTGACAGCTGATTTTCTTGGATAGAGCTCGTTTCTTCTCATGAGCACGAGAGACGCCGCGGCTGAGGCTGTTTATAGAAACTGTTGCTACACGCCTGCCACGCGTTCACCCCTCATCACGGCGCACGGGGTTTACAATCAATACAGTCACAGCGACAACATTCAAGGCCCTCAGTGTTTGAGCCTTGATCTGAGACAGAGCTCTAGATAAGGACAGAACATCGACGGCAGACGCCGTTCTCCAAACTGTTAAGCAGGGATTTTTAACGGCTCTTTCTAGAACAATCGGCTCCAAGAATCAGTTAGCGCTCTAATTTACTGGGCTGCTGCATCAAGGTGGGGAAGATGGAAACTGCCCGAGGCACTAAAATGGAGAGCTTGAAGACTGGCCACGTACAGAAAACTGCAAGAACAAAAAGGTTTAGACCAGGGATGTCAGACTAATTTTGGTTCAGGGACCGCATTTAGCCTGATTCGATGTCACATGGGCTGGACCAGTAGAATCAGCGTGACAAATCCTCTTATTTAATGAAATATAGTTTGACAAATCATCACAAACATGAAGAGTTTGTGCATTTTATCACTTTCAATTCAAATTCATCAAGCGGGCCAGATTGAACATACCAGCTGGCTGTTTTTTTGCCCACAGTCCATATGTTTGACACACCAGATTTGAACTTTATGCTGTTTGTATTATTTTGAAACATTGCCGGATAATCTATAAGTGAAGAAAGTGAATGAAAATGACTGGATTCTCTTTTGAAACGCTGCGGCCCACTACCAAACGACCCTCAGCCCAGTAACAGTCTGGGGACCAGGGGTTTGGTGAGCATATATTCCCCCTCTGTGTAAATGCTCTGGTCCTGTGCGGTGACTGGACGGCCATACATTTGTTGCCTTTTTCTTTAAATCCATCTGCAGACGTGGCCAGAGTTAATTTTCCTGTTCACTAATGAGCACGTCGCTGTAGGAATCACCAGCTAATGAATTGTCCCACTTCCCCTGCACACCAAGTCGTTCCCTTCCTGCGCGCAGAACAAATTTTCACACCTCACCGCACTTGTGTGAGTGACAGTTCTGTGTCTTTTGAGCACAAACACCAAGACACTGAAGGAACACCGAGGAACACCGAGGAACACAGCTGCTGTTTATCTTTCCTGAAGATCCTCTATTAGTGTCTCACCTCCAACAGAGCCGCACGCTTACAACCACTTATGCATCAGAATCACTGCCTGCTATTTAACACCTATTTTAAATGCATCACAGACAAAGTGCAGCAGCTGTAGATGCCGGCTCTCCAGGCTACGCTAAATGCAGAAAAAGCAGGAGGTTTCAGTTTGCATCAATGTCAAAGAGCACTGTTTGGTTGTCTCTCTGTCGAGGAGAAGAACTGTGAACAAATATTTGACAGGAATAAAGACCGAACACTTCAGATGTTTTTTTGGAAAGGTGAAGCGGCCTCCTGCAGCATGTAGGTGGATGACAACTTTAACATCGACCTAAGAAAACACACAAGTACTCACTGATGGATTTAGAAACTGAGACTCTTTTGGAGTAAGATTTTTTAAAAATAAATCTACTTTATGACTGCCAGATTATAATAAAAATGATTTTTGTTTTTCTTCTCTGACTTAAAGATAAAAAAAAAAAGGTCGAGCGACCACCTACCTGTACTGGACTTGATAGTTTCTTGTCCGGCCGTTTTTCCGACCAGGTCATACTGGTTAAGACGAGAGCTTTCTTCTTCCACAACCACAGAGTCCGACGCATTCGAAGTCCAAGAATAGGTCACTTCTGAGATTGTGTAGGCATCTTTTATTAAAGCAGAAGGGGGAAAAAAGTCTCTTACATTTTCTTCCACATTGTGGATTAAATTGTTTATAATATGTTTATATATATATATAAACTGTATATATATTTTCTTTTCTAATGTTTTCTGCTATATTTGCCAGTGACATTTCACCCAAACACAGGACAAACACAGCCATGCATTACAGCACATCTTCACTTGGTTCTAGGTTTTTTCTGAACCAGTGCGTAGAACACAAACAAAAGTCTCCGGTGCTACTCACAGCTGCCGAATTTTAGCGGACAGGAGTGAAAGTCCATGGGGAAATCCTCTAGATGCATCGGACACTCTGCATGCACCGTTAACCTGCATCCAGAGAGATGGTGCAAACGCGTGAAATGTTAAAACATCACAGGTGAAGCATAATCTCAGAAAGAAAGAAAGAAAAGAAAATAGCAGCAGTTTTAGGCAGTGGCGTTGACAGAGTTTGTATCCGATAATTGCTCTATTAAAAAGAAAAAGATACAGTTGTATCTTAAAATCATTTGGGTCATCGACCACCAACTGAGCCCACCATGCTATATGTTTTTTTTTTACATTTTCCATCTGTGATGGCTTAAAAAAAAAACTCAACTATGATCATCAGAGCAAAGCAAACAAGGCACAGCTGCGACCAGCACAGACCCACACAGAACACGTTTGCATGGAAGCCGCTGTTTCATTATTCAACCACAGAGTCAACATTTCAGTATTTATTTATTTTCTTTTTTTTTGTCATCCTGACCTTTAACCTTCACCTGAGCTGAATCACAGAAAGACCTGGAACTGGATTTAAGCCATTTTTCTTTAGCATCTCATCTATGCAGAAATAATGACTATAGTACATGTTAGAGCACAACCCTGTAACAGGGCAGCTGGACCACGTACTGTACATACAAACTGTGATGTCACTGCAAAGTCACCTAAAGCCACTGTAAACTAGCACTTAGCTTAGCTAAGCCAGGGGATTGGAATCTGGGAGCAAATAGGCCGAACTTAATATTCATGTGCACGCACACAGTTGTAGGAGGAGCTCGTGTTAAATCTGATGTACGAAACAAAGACTGATCAGTATGTTCTCTCTCACACTTGTCGAGAAACTAGAAAAAATCCCTTTGGCCAAAACGTGATGGATTTTAATTCTAATACCAGCTGCAATGTCAAATTTTTTTTCAACGTGCTTCAATATCCGTGTGCAAAACACATTCCATTCCAAAATGTAAAACAGTGCAATTCCCAACATAACCACAGACAGCGCTAAAACAAAAACGCGTTACCTCATGGTGTACAGCAGCGTTCCGTCGTCTTTAATCCTCAACAGCTTGTTCGGCATCGTCATGTTGTGGGCCACCGACTTTTTGCCGTTGTGGAAGAAAGTGTCTGGAGTCCAGATCTTACTGGCCATCAGGTTGTTGAGAGGCAGCGTTTCCATCGGTCCGTGGAACTTTAACCTCTCATCCTTCCAGCTTTGCCGAAAAAAAACATCGATGGTGTACTCCTGAGGAGAGGAACGTTTGAGATCATCATTAGAAGTATCCTGAGGGTTTTCTTCTTCTTTTTCTTTTCTTCTTTTATGACCCGATTCCTGAGTCTTCTCCTGCTGAGTTTCCCACATATCCCATAAATCCTTTTAACCTCCTGCCTCAGCAATCAGTTGAATTGCACTACAGTATCAGAACAAATCAATTAGGTCAAAGGAGGATATTTGTTGTTGCCATTATTTATGAGACCTCCATCGAATTGACACTGGATAATGGAATAAATCGAACGTTTTCAGTGAAATTGACCAATGAAAAGTAGAAGTATAAAACACCAGTGTGTTCCCTGGGATTATTACCCCCCACCATCATTTCACACACACAGATATTTATCTGGATCAGTTGTCAATCTGACTATGGCAACATTAGAGGGTTAGTTTTTTTATGATGTCAACAACAAATGACCAAGTGAATAAATAAAGTCCAGTATCCGTCCTCACCATGTCCGTGTCTGACACTGGTCCAAAGCTGGTGACGTAGATGTTGGTCTTGACCTCAGTTACTCTGTCTGAAGGAAAGAAGCAACAATTAGGAGACTGAAAACTGAAGTCCAACTCCTGAACTGAACAGAACAGAATGATGGTGACGACAGTCGTAAGGTGTCACTGTCCAGCCATGAAGACGAGTCGGTTTCTTCTTTAGAAACACACAGACCTTAAACCCAGTGTTTTTCAACCTTTGGGATGCTACCCAATGTGAATTGAAAAAAATTATAAAAATTATAAATTTTGTTTTCATTTTTTCAACAAAATTCAAACACAGATTTTGATTCATTGATCGGTTTAAAAAGCTGATCATGTTGAGGGTTCAAAACTCTGATGACACTGCTGTACAGCATGATATACAGTATGATGGGATGTGTTTGTTCATAAGAACGCGGTGACCAGGCTTTGGTTCCTACTGTGGTGGGTTTACATCGAAGGGACTAAACCTGGAAAAAAAAAAGATGATATGTTGAAGTGAAAGATTTTGGTTACACAATGTTTTGATTGCACTCAAAAATGATCTTTCTTTAAGTTAATGCTAACTATTCATCTCCTTTCTTAACAATTATTTACATCCAAGATCGTACAGACCGCATTTTCCAAATTTGAAATCACTTAAAGCGAGTACTACAAACGACGGTTCTTAAACAAAGTGTTTATTGTTCTTTTTTACTTCCTCTATCTTCTTCTTCTCTCCTTCGTTTCCTCCTCCGCCCAATCGACCAATCATCTTAATGTCCATCTACACTGAACCATTGATCGTCTCCGGAGTCTTCCTCCATTCCTCTTGGCAGCTCCATCTCCATTATCCTTTGGGCCAACATGTCCACTATCAATCCTCATGTCCAAACCATAATGACCCCTGTCCTCCTCACCTCCCTGTGCCCCCGCCCCAACCTTATAGCTGCGAGCTGCTCAACCACAGACACACCTCAGATCTGCTCATTCCTAGTGAGTACTAAAAACAGTACCGTCAGTTCTGATACCTCAGGGCCAATTGGTCAAAACAGTTTTCTGTCACACATCAGACATCAGACTCTCGCCTCCACATATTATCCTCAGCTTGTATCACATATGACACGTTCATCACCGTCTCTGTCCACTGACTCGGATGGTTGACTCCTGGTATTTAAACTAAATCTGACTCCACTTTTTCTATACCTTTCACCTTCACTTTTTACTCTGTCATCCACAGGACTTCTACTCTTCCCCTGTCGTGTGACGACCTTAAAAACTCTCCCAGCTGTGTGTAAAAAAAAAACCTGTTACACACATTCTCTAATCACCCTCGTGTTGCAGCAATCAGCGGTGGAGGTTCTGCAGATTGTTAATTTTAATTGCAGCTATTAAAACACATGACTGACAGAGAGAAAATATCAAAAATCAGCCTGGACTAAAAAAAAAAAAACTCCATCTCCCTGGAGTGATGTCACTCACTCTGACTCACTGCTGTTTCTATATAAGTGGAGGATGCTGCAGCTTTTCCTCCATTTTTCAGGACTCACCAAACACCACAGGTAATGACTGACCAATCAAACATGGGTCCACAGGCCCATCTGTACCACATGATTCACTGAATATGAGAAGCACATGTTTTACGGCCGGTAAATAAATGCTGTAAATATGTATCAAAGTATTAAAAACACTCCACAAAAATCTTGGAGAAGCCAATATTGAGAAAAATCGTTCAAATTTTGTTGTGTTCACTGGAATGGATTTTTTTTTCTATTTGTTACATATTCTTTATTATAAATAAATAGCTCCTGAACTACACAGTGGGTGGGGCGCAGAACAGCACTGTCCAAGTGCTAAAGAGTGAAACAGGTGGGAGGTGGAGTCTGAAAATCTATTTCGACTGTTGCACTTTTGTTAAATCCTCCAGAACAAACCGCCAAATATTTTCATGTTCTGTCGATAAACAGTGTGTGTCGATGGAAATACTGTATATAACAACACTACACACAAGTCAGGCCCACTGTAACCCACCTACGTTTATTTGCTGCTACAGTATATATTATATGTGTACATATATCTGTGACTTATATATTTATATATGCTACTGTATATATAACTTATATGTGTGGTTTATTTGCTGCTACGGTATATATTATCTGTGACTTATATATTTATATATGGTACTGTATATATAACTTGATTTGTTTATGTTATGTGATTTAAAAAATGCATATAGATACATACTGTACACATATATATATAATTATATATATGTGTGTATATATGTGAGTGCAATACAAAAGTTAATCTCATTAGTTAAAGGTTAAATGGTCACCTATTTAGCTCTGGTGTCAACGCTCAGAGCAATTAATCTCATTAGTTAGAGGTTAAATGGTCACCTATTTAGCTCGTGTTTTATTATTTATTATGGAGTCAGTACTCTAGTGTACTGTAAGTATTACTGTAGTATATAGTTAAGTCCCAGCCGGGATATTTTTTGTCCTTATTTCACAAATACCTATTTATAAATACTTTACCAAATCCAGATTTTTTTGTCATTGCAGTCACAGTGTGTTCTACATTCACTGACTTCATGAACAACCATCAGGCAACAGCGTGCTCTTCTCCAAACAGTCCAGTGTTTCCACATTAGCAGCCCTTGTGGTGATGCAAAAACACTTGAGGAGAACGAAAAAACCAAACGCAGGATTAGAGCAGTAAGAATAACAATGAAGTCCTCACTACGGTGACATTACGAGCTGAGCCTTAGAGAAAATGAGCTTGTCTTTTCTTCGGAGAGCAGTGGGCCTGTTTAGCCATCAAATGGCTGTGGTTATATTGCATTTGCTATAAATAAGTTGAGGAGAGATGTGCAGCCTAAACCCACACAGTGGTTCATTCACTGTGGAAACAATTACTGTAGTTCTCTCTTCCTCCTCCTCTGAAACCTTCTAGTAGCCTCAAGGGTACATGTTGGTTCATCTCGAGAAACCCCTGCCCTAGATTCGTCTTCTTCTTCTTCTTCAACATTTGATTTGCAGTGAGTGTAATAACGCAACACGCCTGGCAACGTGAAATGGAACGCCGTTAAAGGCCGAAGAACCGACGTGTCTGAGTAACGACTCCAGGATCAGCTGCACAGTACTACAGTTTACTGCTGCACATGAACCTCCCCGGCTACAAAAAAACCACCCGGCTCTGCTTCATTTTTGTCCTTACATGTCCAAAGCCGGCCTACTCAAATAGAGGCCCGCAGGCCACTTACTGCCCGGACAAAAGCTCCACGCGGCCCGGTCTGTGGTCTTTTGAGAAACAACAAAGGAACACAGGCCTCACGTGATTCGAAATTTTCTACAGGAAACCGGTCATTAAAGTAACAGTCTCTGTAGCCTAGCAACATGCAATCCACAGTGCATCACTCATTGGTCACAAAGACGGGTTAGCAGTATAGGGCAACGTATCCCTGGCATAGCAACATAAAATTACTCACCAATTCAACCCTGCACAGACTGAAAAGAAATATTGAATTTTGTTGTTGTTGACATGAGGAAAACATTTAATGATTTTCAATACATTATGTTTGTGGTCATTTTTTTTTTTGATTGATCATCAATGTTTTTGAAAGGAGTTCCTCCACCCTATTAGGGATAAAGAAGGTTAATTGTCTGCTTTTAGTTGATCATATAGGTGTGAATGGAGGTTTAAATTTGTAATTTTATTTTCGTATCTCGCTGGGCCTCCAGGTTTTATGTGCAATAAAAGGGACGGTCAGACAGTTGATGTAAAAATGCTGAGGTGACAGAATGCTAACATGACATTATGCACAGGGAGAGTGGACATAAATTTTGTTTTTAAATGTACCGTATTAGAATACGTTGACATGGTACACAAATGTTTGTGTGTGTTATTTATTCCGGGATGGCACGCAGATGAACACAGCATACTAATATCGTTTATTTCATTGAGATTCCGCCTCCTCTTTTATGGCGCACTCTTTCATCCATAAAAACTGTCAGAGGGATTTATCCCCTGCCTTTGAATATATGCTATGTATGAGTGAACACAGTCGCGCAGCTGCGATGATGCTGCTCTCCAGCCATTACAAACGTGTTATGAACTAAAATCCACGGAAGCGTTAACGTGTTTTTCCCCAGATGAGATCTTCACATATAATGTGTCTACAATGTGGAAAATTCCATCTGATGTCTGCTTTTATTTTATTTTTTATTTATTATGGGCCATGTCATGTTCTATGGTGTGAGAACCTCCACCCTCTGAGAGTGAGGAGCCCCACTGGAGCCCAGTCTAATAAAAACATATGTAGCTGTGGTGCGTTTAGACACTCGGGATAAAAGCACCTAATTTGTTCTGTGATGTTTTATTCACGTGTTTTATTTTTCAGACGGAAGATTTCCCCAAGGTCTGCTTTTAACATCTTCACTTTCACATAGTTATATGTTGGTGAAAAAAATCATTATTTAATGTGTTTTGTTGTTGTTTTTTTCACTTAAAAATCTATACAATTTGATGACTGACCCATATAAAGACACTGAAACATTGTGATTTATACAGTACAGTATAAACGCTGCTGTTTAAAGCCGCACTGATTGAACAAAAAAAAAAGACATTAAATAAAATGATCTAATATGGACACTGCTGCTACACCTGCAGGCTGCGGGTGTTAATGCTTTTCTATAGAGTAGGTGAACTAACATCATTATTGTTGTGGGTCTGTTTGCACAGGACGAGCTTTGCCAAAGTGAGGCAGGTCCGTTTCCCATATGGCAGCTCCCAGTCTGGGCTCAAGGCCCTGAGAATTTGAATTTCAAATGGCAGCAGATCCTGAGGGAGGAGCTCTGCTTTGGAAAGAGGGGCCAAATGAAAATGAGATGCCATGGAATGATGCTGATGGAAGAAGTGAGGAGACAGTGGGGGGAAAAGAGGCCGGGGAAGAAGAAACAACTCCTCCTGACTGTGTGACTACTGTTCAGGATTTAAATGGTCGAATCTGGTGTCTAAAATATATTAAGGCTGAGTGATAAAAATGTGGCTTTAAATCAACCCTTGATAAAAATACAAAATGTATTGTTCACTATTATTATTATTATTATTTTACATCATTAAACTTTTTTGCCACTAATGACAAATAATCAGATATTATTATTATTATTATTATTTTACATCAATACACTTTTTTGCCACTAATGACAAATAATGAGAAAAAAATGGTGCAGAAATAAAGAAGAAAACATCACCATTTACAAGGTTAATTTTGTCTATTTTGGTTGTTGTTCCACACAGGAAGTAAAGTGAGATTTTATATAACCACAACGTTTCTGGTACAAAGCGCTTTCGGCGTTTCTACAGGTTTATTTTTGGAGAAAGCACTCCAGGAGCAGCACTCCAGTAAAAATGTTTCACTTGAAAAGATTAAAGCACTGATGCGTCACACAAAAATAGACTACATAAAATGCACATAAATAATGCACATCGTGGACACTCGCACATGGAACCTACCCCCAAGACCAGGCCTGAGACGGTTGTCGTATCCATCCAGGAGGCTGTCCAGGATCCGTGTGAACACGGTGATGTTGGCTTTCAGGGAATCGGTGGCGGCATCAGCTTTCACCGACCTAAACAACAGACAGACGGCGTCAGGGGCTGAAGAAGACTCCAGCAGACCACGTGTTTACCTAGAGTCATATGTATGCATGTAAACAGGGTGGAGACCCCCCGACCCACCAGACGTCCTAGTGGCCACAACAGCAATGACACAAACAATGGGAGGCATGTGGATCGATAAGCTGTGTACGGCTGTACAGTAAAACCAGTTCCATGTCAAAGGAAAAATCAATATTGTGAAGGTGTCACCTGTTTGTTTGCTGAACAAATATGTGTTTTAGAAATACTGATCAATACAAGTATGGACCTGTGATAAGCCATTGATAAACAGATCAATCAACTCTACAACAATAGTAATGTATAACACCTTTACTGACTGTACAGATGCTATAATATAAACTAAAAACATACACTTGTTCATGTCTGGAGTCCAATAACATCTAGCTGGTTTTATATATTGACAATCATAATTATATACATATATTATCTTTCATCAACAAGAATTTAATTTACCCCGATTTCTTCACTTCACTTTTTTTTAATAATAATAATACCCCGATTTCTTCACTTCACTTTTTTAAATAATAATAAACAGCATTCTGCCCCCTTACATCTTCCCCCAGCTCCCACTAGGGCTGTGAAAACTTCTACATAAACATAAACTGACTAATAGGACCGTTAAAAAACATTAACATTAGTAAAAATTATTTAAAAATATTCAAATATATATATGTTTAGTATGTTTATTATTAGTCAAATGCTGAAAATAAGTTGACGAGTGGGTTAGCTAGAGTTAGGCTAGCATGCTAGCTTAGCATAATAACTTTAAGTGTACGGAAAACATTAGCTTTTGACCAGTGTAAATCTTACAAATGTTACAGTGTGGGGGTTTCTCCCCACTATTTTCTGTAGTAGCAAAGCATAAAGAAACTCCCCTCCCCGTCCCCCCCTTCCCTCCATATCCTCCTCCCATGAGACAAAGTGTGTGATGGTGTCCGGCACCTCCATCATTACAGCCACTCACCTGCTTTTCCACAGAGCGGTGAGGGGCAGCAGGCAGAAGAGAAGAAGAGATGCTCTCCCTCTGCTCCACATGGCTGATCCTCCACCTACACACCGCACAACAGACAGATGCCGTGAATGAGCGATCAGCTTGAGGAGTCTTCACATGCCACTGTCGTTAAATGTCACCTTTCTACATGCTGGCGGCACCGTGCGTTGTGAGTGTGTGTGTGTGAGTGTGTGTGCGTGTTTTCCTGGGGATTCCCCTCTTTCAGCTGCACAAAACACAAAAAAAAACAAAAAAAAAAAAAAAACCCGAATTTTCCACAGCACAGACGCGGCGGTGACAAGCAACTGACTAATTAGTATTCACTGACACGTCCCTCACACCCACTCACTCAACGTGAACACAATATTGGATCAGGTCACAACAACGGATTTCTGAGTAGTGACCCAGTTTCTGATGGAGGAAAATGACCGACATCGTGGAGAAAATGATAATAATAAACATAAATGTACGGGTCCAGCTTCAGCCCGGATCGATGGCCCCCGAGATCTGGACCAAAACACGGGGTTTCTTTGTGTCTGTGGCGTGTGCAGCGCACTCACCTCAGGAAGTACCTGCTGATGCTGATGATGCTGCTGATGCTGATGCAAACGTCGAAGATGCAGGAAAGTTCAGCAGAATCCAGCGCTCGCTGCCGTTTGGATCCGACTCAATCAGTGTGTCCTGAGAACAAAGCTGTGCGCGCTCAGGATTCGGAGCCTCGATCCGAGGCAGCAGCCATGCAGCCAAATCCACTGGCTCTCGGCGCGTCCCCCAACATTTACAAATTAGAAAAAAAAGAAAAAAAAAGAAGAAGAAGGAAAAAAAAAGATAAACACAGACGATGAGAGGAAATGTGCGAAAAGCATGAAAATGAAGATGGAATATAATGGCAATTTGAGGGTGGCTTCAAATTGCCCTCTCCAGCATCATCACCATCCTCGTCCTCGTCCTCCTCCACCTCCTCCTCCTCCTCAGCTTAGCGGTGAAGCTCGATGTGAATCGTGATAGGCAAGGAGCACATCTCAGTCTCCCTCAGCTCCACACAAAAACTACAAAGGCTCAGGGGCAAAGACACTGGGTCCTAGAGGCAGTTTGGTACCGAGTGATTCTCCTCCTCCTCTTCCTCCTCCTCCTCCTCCAGACTCCTGCAGCCCTGACCTGGATACTAATGACTTTCATTAACACAACAGCGGCATGTTGATAATGTAATAAGATGCACTGAGAGGTGGTGGGAGGTGATGGGGGCAGGTGAGTGATTCCAGTGGCTGATGGCGGTTTACAGATTGATTAAATCTATGGAAGCTTTAAAAATGTCACCAACACGTTTCTAAAAAAAAAAAAACAAAAAAAAAAAACGGTTTTCACAGCTGTGTTAAAGGTGGAGTGTGAAGGAATTTCCCCAAAAAAGAACATGAATTGTTTTTATATTCCAGTATAAATACACATGTTATATAAATATGATGATTGTAGTCAAGGATGTCCGATATTATTTCTTGCCGATATCACATATGCCGATATTGAGAGAGAGAGAGAGAGAGAGAGAGAGAGCATCATCTTCACCTGAACTCCTGACCTCAAAATCAGGCATCAATTAACAGATCTTTAGATTCAATGATCTTCAGCCCCACCCCCCCTCAACCCACCCCCATCCCCCCCACACAC